AATTGAAATTTAGGTATCAACCTCGAAAAGAGAATTAGACTTTAAGTACTGACCTCGAAAGAAGGGAATCAGAAGGTACTGAGCCCGATAATTTCATAAGTGTGGAAAAAGTTCTTGTATAGAAAGGTGGAAAATATAGGGAATTTAAAGGAATCAGAAGACCTTGCACCGACCCTAAAATTTCATGGAGGCAGAAAATTTCTCGAAAGGAAGGCGAAAAATATATGGAATTTAAAGGAATCAGACGACCTTGCACCGACCCTAGAATTTGAAGGAAGGAAAAAAATTTCTTGAAAGGAAGATGAAAAATTTAAGGAATTTAAAGGAACCAAACAACGTTGCTTCGACCCTGGAATTTCATGGAGGTGGAAAATTTCTCAGAAGGAAGGCAGAAAATATAGGTAATTTAAAGGAATTGGATGACCTTACACCGATCTTGGAATTTCATGGAGGCAAAAAGTTTCTTGGAAGGAAGGCAAAAAAATATAGGGAATTTAAAAGAATTAGATGAACTTATAGCAACCCTGAAATTTCATTCTAAAGGTTGCGGTAGGGAGGGCTCCTAAAGCAACGCGGTATGAGATGTTGCATCCTTAACCTCTAAAATATTTTGGGAATCCAAATTTAGGTACTGAGCCCGAGTTCTTAAATTACCGAGATTTCGTGAAGATATAGAGATTTCAAAATTTTGAGATTTCATGAAGATATAGAAATTTTGAAATGTTGAAATGTTGAGATTTTGTGAAGATCAGATATTTTGGAATGTTAATATTTTGTGAAGATATAAAGATTTCGGAAGATTTCATGAAGATATAGAGATTTCAGAATGTTGACATTTCATGAAGATATAGAGATTTCAGATTGTTGAGGTTTCATGAAGGTTCTGACAAATTCGTGTAGACAAAGAAATTCGTGCTGCGAAAGCGGGGAGGGAGAAACCTCAAACTCGAGAGAAGCAAATCATCATATTTATCATTTTCTTTTCTTGTTGTCTTTATCACATTTAATTATCAAAATATATTTTCCAAAATTTAGTTTTAGTTGGTTGATTTACTTTTAAAAGCTTTATTTAAATTTCATTATCAAATTATTGTTGTATTTTTCTTTGTTTGTTATAATTTAGAACCAATGTATAGTTCTGTAGCCTTTTATCAAAGGTACAAAAGAGAAATTTAACAAATTCATCAAAATCTAGAAGAAATTTCATTAAACTGCTTCAAGTATGCGTTACAAACTGAATACATGCTGAAGCATCAAAAGATAACAGGTTGAATATATTTCAAACATCTTATGCTGAGTAAATATCATATTTTCTACTCTGGCGCAATACAGAAAGTGACAAAAACTGTCAATCTGTCATATATGGCGAGCTCATGATCAAGCTGAGCGACTAAGCCATGATCCATGACAAGAATTTGTTTCACGTGTACTTAGAGGTGCAACCATCTCATCGATTGTATGGGTGCAGCTCTTCCAATTCTGGGTCTGGACGGAACCCATGCGGCACTTTACTATCATCCATTCTTTTGAATGTCACAGAAACTCTACGGTGTCGTACTCCCGGAATGCAGTTCTTGGTAAGATCTGCTTTGTTTCTTTTTAGAGTTAGTATTAAACCCACTGGTAGTGGAATCTTGATGGATCTTTTGAATTCCCCAGGGCCAATAACATCGATTTCTTTTCCAAACAAAATGTTACTTCGGCTCATGAAGGTCACCGTGCAGAAGGGCATTACATATTCATGGTGATCTATGTGCGGAGGAATACAGTCTCCTTCATCATAAATGTTGATTATGCAGCTATTAGGAATGCAGTCTGTCAGTAGTATGCTCAACCTAACCATCCTTTTAATCATTCTTTTTATCTCAGAAGGCAGAGGATCCACCTCGTATCTTAGACAAAGTTGTGGCAGCAACCACATTGAATGGTTATCCTACCTTTTTCGTGCATCCATTTTTGCGACTCTGAATAAGTCTTCCTCATGAACAGACCGGCTCGACCTCGGCCCCTTTAGTCGAATATGCAATCAAGAATCCTTATTTCATCATTTTCGAAGAAAAATCCTATATATAGTTCTAGACCTTCCAAGATGTTGACAAATTTCCCTTGGATTTTTCATAGAATTTAAATTCTCTCTTCTTGACTCTATTCATTCTTTTTAGTTCTACTGTAGGAATCCTTTGTGGTCATCGAGGAAGTTCCCTCATTTCAATATCCATGGAAAACCATGTTTGACTCCTCTCCGTATGCAGTGGAATATATGATTCAGTATCTGAGTGCACTGTCTCCTGGGACCCTGTGTTAGAGGCTCTATATTCTTCAAACGAACTGTAGAGATCCAAGTGGAGGACATTGCATCTCGGGCACTCCACAAATGCTCCTCCTATCAATGCTTGTGTTGGAATTTCAACATTGCACATCGTGCAGCCTTTGCAAAGTTCATCTGGAATTTTTTATTGTGTCTGCTCCGCAACAAACTCAGACTCATCCTATGTAGCAGGCAGACTAGTAGAAGTCTCCCTCATGCATGGGTCATAAATCTTTTCCTTCAAAATTGGGGTGAGTGTATCTTCTGCTTTTTTCATGTTTTTTTTCTCCTGACATAAGAAAGCTCTATGCTTGTAGTGGTTGGCATTATGATGTTGCGTTCTTTGAGTGGTGCATCTGGCACTCTTTTTTCATCAGCACTGACTAAATTCCCCGTTGGTGCAGTTTTCATGGATGGTAGACGACTGGTTCCTTCCATTGGATCTTGTGGTATTGTTGTTTTCTTCCTCTTCATCAAGAAATCATCTTTGGTACCAATTCTTAGCAGTGATGGTAACACGTCCATAAGGGGACCCTCGCAGTCCATGTTGACCTGACCGAAGTCCAAGTCAAAGTCTATTGTGCTGCCCTGGGCTGCCCTGGGATGCCCTTTCCTTATTTAATGCGAGATTCAAGCCGTCTCTAAAAGCAAAAATCAGCTTTCATGCCGACATTTTTCTATAGATGACAGAAAAACATCAGTGCGCTAAATTTTAGCACGAACAAGAACAACAATAAATTATTAATTAAAAAAATTTCAACTTATACAGGTGCAAATTTTATTTATTCAATTTAAATTAATTTAATGAGATTTAAAAAATAAAAAAAAAGAGGAGGAAATTAAATTGAGCAAATTAAAAAATTTCATTTTATTGAGGTTAATTGTATTACAAAATTTTTGACCCAGTCACAGACGCTTTGCCAAATCATTGTATCTTCAAATCAATGTCATGTTGTGTGTTATAACCTCAAATATCAGCCATTAACTGACAACAGGGTCCTTTGTCCCGAAAATCCACCAGCTGGTAAGATCCTCATGAGTAAACTTCTTCTATGACAAATGATCCCTCCCAAGTTGGTTCAAATTTTTCACCTATTTTGTGGTGTGCAAGAATAGGCTTTTTGGGAACAAAGACGAGGTCACCAACTTTGAATGTTCTCAGGCAGACCAATTTGTCATGAGCCTGCACCAATTTTCCCTCAAGTATTTCCAATTCTTTAAGTCTGAGATTTGCACTTTATTATGTTGTAATCTAACTGGCGACGACAAATCTGAGAGACAGTGTCTAGACATCTAGCGGTAGTACTAACTCAGACCCGTACATAAGTGCGTAGGGTGTACATTGAGTGGGAATTATGAACATTGTCTAGTAGGCCCATAGAGAATCTAATAGTTTATCATGCCAACCTATATTGTTCTCATCCAATGTTTTCTTTAAAATTTGCACGAGCATCTTGTTGATGGTCTCGGCCAGGCTATTTGCTCTGAGATAGTAAATTGTAGAGTATCTTCTATCTTTCTTATGTCGCTTGACTAAGTTGTTGATCTTTGTGTTCTTGAAGGCTGTTCCATTATCTATAATAACTTTGCGTGGTACATCAAAATGGTAGACAATCTGACTCTTAAAAAATTAGAGATCATGTTGTGTTGTAACCTCTTGTAACGACACTGCTTCTGCCTACTTTGAGAAGTAATCTGTAGTGACAAGAATAAACCTGTGTCCCTTAGAGGATGGAGGGTCTATTAGATCTATTATGTTTGTGCCCCAACACTCAAATGGCCACGAGGCAATGATTGTATGCAGCACATTCGGAGGTTGGTGTAAAACCACTCCATACACTTGACAAAGGTGACACCTTCCAGTTGTATCCATACAATCGAATATAATTGCTGACCAATAATATCAGAGTCTTTTAATCTTCATTTTCATTTTTGGCCTTGACTGGTGAGCTCCGCACAATCTGGAATATACTTCTTTAATGATATTTTGTGTTTCGACACTGCTTAGACATCTCAGCCACATCTGATTGAATGATCTTCTGTAGAGGACATCTCTCACTAGAGCATATGAGATAGCTCTTCTCATGATGTGATATGCTTTAGAATTTTCTTCTGGCAGCTTTCCATTTTGTAAATATTCTATCAATGGCTTACGCTAATCTTCATTAATTCCAGCAACTGAAATCATCATCCCTTCTTCTTTCTTAAGCTTGTGTAAATTTTTGAGGTCAATGCAAGATAGAACCTAACGTTCTTGTACTATAATGTCGATGGAATCCTCCAGTGGACACGCCATTTCCTTAGTAAGTTTCGCTAAAGCGTTAGCACGGGCGTTATCCCCCTGAGGAATTTGGTATAGAGTCACATTGGGAATCTGCTCTAATAACTTCATTGTGTATCGATGATATTCTGCTAGCCTTGGTTTCAAAATTTTATATTGTCTCGCAACTTATTGGATGACGAGTTGTGAGTCGCCCTTGAAGACGATGTCTGTTATATCTATTGAGATCGCTAATTCCAATACAGTGATCAATGCTTCATATTCTGCTTCATTGTTTATGCACTGCTTTGTTAGGTGATAAAAGAATCTCAACATACTCTTATTTGGCGTGATAAAAATCAGGCCAATTCCTGCTTTTCTTGGTATAAACATCTATGATTCATTGTCTTCTCTGGCTAATGAAGCTCCATAGAAATACATTTCCTAATGCCTATCATTAGATGGTTCTATTTGTCATATTTTTTCATCTGGTAGCTCATCATTGAGTGAGGAGCCAGTTGGAAGTGGGTGCGTTGTGAGAAAATCTGATAAAATCTGTCTCTTGATAGCGCAGAGGGGAAAAAAAGTTAAATTAAATGGCAAAAAAATCATTGATCATCATGCTAAACGTCTGGTAAGTGTTGGTCGGGTCATCAAATATCGTAATAGATTAACTTAAGAAATAAGGGTAATTTTATGAGAGAGCATGTAATACCTAAGCTTTTCAGTGGAAAAAATTAAAGCTAGACAATGCTTCTCAATAGGTGGATACTTTACCTCCGTCGGTATTAGATGGCAACTCAAGTAGTAAAGCTCATTTTCCTTACCCTCATTGTTGTCCTGAGCTAACAGAGCTCTGAGAGAGTCATCTAAGGCCACAATTTAAAGTATCAACAATTTTCTTGGGATAGGGGCTGCCAAAACAGAAGGTGTCATTAACTATTGCTTAACATCCTCAAAGGTTCGTTGGCATTTCTTTTCCCAAAAAAATTTAGTGTCCTTTTTAATTAATGCCGAGAAGAACTGACACTTACATGAGAGATTATAAATAAAACATCTCAGATATGACAAATTTTCTTGGAAGGAATGTAGTTGTTTCAAGGTTTTGAGAGGAGGCATTTCCAAGATAGCTTTAATCATATTTGGGTCAATCTCAATTCCCTGATGACGAACAACAAATCCTAGAAATTTTCTAGAGGTGACGCCAAAGGCACACTTTAAGGGATTCATCTTTAGATTATATTGTCGTAATCGTTCGAACACGATCCTCAAATCGTACAAATGATCTATTTTTCAATTTGCTTTTAAAGACCAAATCATCCACATAGCATTCTACTTAGTTGTGAATGAGGTCGTCAAAGATCTTCGTCATAGCTCGTAGATATGTTGCTCCGACGTTCATTTGCCCAAATGACATCATTGTGTAGCAAAAGATCTCAATTGGTGTTCTGAATGTTGTAAGTGTTGTATCATCTTTTTTACCTCAGTAATGACTGGTTGCTCTATCTCGAGGCGCATCCTTCTTGGAGCTTGTTTTACTGGGGTCATATCATTATCCACCCCGAGTTTGTGAATTGCAACTTTTGTTGATAGCCCTGACATTTCATCATAACTCCATGCAAAGCAATCTTTAAATTTTGATAATAATTTTATCAATTATGTGGATTCTTCCTCTTTGAGTAGAGAACTTATAAAAGTTGGTCAAAGCCGCTCTTTAGTCCCAAGGTTGATTTCTTTCAATTCATCCATCGTTAATTTAATTTCTTCTTCAAATTCCATTGGAGCATCATCTATCAACTGATTCTCAGAGTCATCCTCTATATTGAAGCAATCCTCTACCAATCTGCTAGTAACAACAATGTAAAATTCTGATTCATCGACTAGTCCTACAGTATCAAATTCAAGACCTTCTTTTGAGTTAAGAGTTTGACTTTTAACATTCCACAATTTTTCAAAAAATTGTAGCTCATCTTTTGGCATTTGTTTTGGTACATATCCCTATTGAATTAACTTTTCTTCATAGGGAGAAAAGTAACCAAAAGGTAATTTCATTAATTCATTAGAATCCTCTTCCAAATTTACAGGATTTTCAGAATTAGTAGGAGGGAAAACACGATAAAACTTGATCAGTTTTGAATTGACGCTATAGACTTCCTTGACTTTTAAACTCTCAACCTCTTGAGGGTGGATTGGAGTAAGGGTCATAACATTTACATAGTGGTTGATCCAATCGTACATTGACTCGTATTCACTCTTCTCCACATCTTCCAAGGAAATCTCATAATGAGGTTTCTTTTGTTTTAACATCATCATTTATTCCTAAAAACTTTCTTCCATGTTGTTGTTGATGGTT